ACTCCTTTCCCTTCCCCTCCCCACAACAGACACCCTGTGAGGTAGGTGGGGCTGAGAGAGCTCTTGACAGAAACTGCTCTTTTTCAAGAACAGCTCTGACAGAACTATGGCTTGCCCAAGGTCATTCAGCAGGTGCAAGTGGAGGAGTGCGGAATCAAACCCGGTTCTCCCAGATTAGAGTCTGTGCACTTAACCACTACACCAAACTGGCTCACTGAAATGAAAAACTAAAGTGAATTAAGAGGCTGGTAATAATAATCTCAAGGTAATAATTTTGTGGTGAAACCTGAAGAATTCTATTTTATCACCTGAAATAATGAAATTTTCCTATTTTTATTCCCTAGGCCAATACTACCCCCTCCCCGGCCAAACAAAAATTATTGGGCCGTTCAACAGTAGTGGTCTGGTCTTTGCTACAGTGAATGCTCTGTATAGGCAGCTAAGTATGTAGGTCCTCAGGCTGCATTTAGTTGTGTGCAAGGCCTGCAGGAGCTGGTAAGCAGTGGAACAGTTCACAGTTAAATCTGAGGATGGGAAACATGACATTTACCCTTTTGAAACCAACGCCCCCTCCGTAGTGAACCCATGCAATTTTAAGAAGAGTGCACCAAACGCACTAGGAAAAAATTAGCCCTGTTCAGTGAAACACAGCCTTTAAAAAAGAAAAATCTCCTGTACATATAGGTTGTACACAAAGGTAATAAAAAGCACATTCTCTCTCTCCTTTAAGGAGGTTGCCCATCTGCTTATGTTGATGGATTATACTATTTATTCATTCAGTCCGCATTCTTTCTCTCCACCTCTAACCAAGATCTAATATATAGCTGAACAAAGACTAACAGAGAATAATCGCTGTACAAAAGCGCTACCAGCCATGAGGATGTGTCATTATTATAAGAGGAATCAGTCATATCTACATTCTTAGGACCCCTTCACACATTACATGTGTGCAGCTCCTATGTACGTATTCTATGTGACTGCAGCAAACTCAGGTATCGTACATAGAAGTACACTCACTAAGGAGCCAAGATTGGCTGTTGCCTGGTGAGTATGCATGCATTGGCAAAGCTGGGTTTGCCCCGTGTGACATGTGGGATGATTTTAAAAAGCCAAGTGATTATTTGGGGGAAGAACTGTACCTGTAGCTAGAGGAGGCTTTATAGTTTGTACTGTAGCCAGTTGCCAAGCTGAACAGGCAGGCAAGCCTATTGCTCAATTTACACTGGACTTCCTTGTTAAACCCTACAATTGGTTATAGCAGAAACTTAAACAGTAGCAACAACAACAAGCATCTGCATGTCGGTTCTGTCTCGTACATGTGTATGTAGAATTCAAGGTTGCAGCTCATGTGTCCTGCTCCCATCTACCCACCTCTAAACCACACACACAATATGCTTAGGCAGTTGAAGCTACCCTCTAGCTGAGTATTTTTCTGGAAAACCATAAATGAAATGTGTTCTGACCAGTGAATGGACATTTTCTTGTATCCTTCTAAGGACATGGTTCTGGGGTCTGTAGAAGAATACAAGGAAGAAAGGAAACCAGCCTTTTTGGTATGGTGACCCACAAGTCCAAATTTACTTCGTACGGTGACCTGTCTAGGGCCAGCACAAGATTTTTTGGTCATGACTTCATGACCTTGGCATCCATTATAGTTCCATATTCCATTTTCTATAGTGCCCAACCAGATATTTTGAGAAACCAACAAACATTACACGGGTGCAGCTGCTGCCCCCACTATGAACCCCAAGCAAGTGAGAGTTAATCTCTGGGCAAGAGAGATGTCATTAGGGAGGGCCAGCCTAAAACCTACTTTGCAACCCACTTTTGGGTCCCGACCCACAGGCTGGGAAACACTGCTTTGGGTCATGGGTGTAGAACCCTCTAAAAAGTGTTACATCACAAGAGGAAAAGAAATACCCAGAACATTTCTGGAAATATTTCCCACCAAGATCCTAGTTGCCCTGCTGGTTACTCGACTTCTCCCCACCCTGTAGTAACGGCATAATATAAAACTACCCAGTTTAAACACAAATGCTGTCCTCTTTGCCTGCTGGCCTCTGAACTTGCCTCGATAATTATGAACTCTGTAGGCATAACATGGAACTGAGTTTTCACAATTTCAGCAACTTAGGATGGACCAAAATACCCAGAATGGTAATGTCTTTCTCTTACGCTTGAGATATATAGGTAAAATGCAATATTGAATGTAAGTACATAGCGCTGCAATTTCATTAAGACAAGACATAACGAGCGCTTGGCCACATTGCCTATGCAGCTCACCATGTTAGTGCATTCCCCCCCCCTCTCCAAAGCAATATGGCAACAGTTGTTATTTTGGGGGGGGGGGCTAACAGGGCCAGATATCAGGATGCTCTGCATCCAGATGGAAGTGGATTTGTGACAAGAACTCCATCTGAGGCACTCAGTTTCAGATGCCACAGCACAGCTTTAATCGGAAGCCACTGCTAATGACAAATCAAACAATACTGTTCCCTTCATCTAGCAAACAATACTGCTCACATCATCATCACATAATGGACAGAGGCAAATGCCATGGCCTAGCCATACCACTTTATGTTGCCCTTCTGATTCCAGAACTAGTTCTGTCCCACCCAAGTAATATATAGCCTTGCCCAGTGAGTAAAGGGTTTGCAGATTTCCTCATATGCAATTAACACTAACTGATGCCATTAACACTAACTCTTACACACGGTGGTGGTGGGGAATTCTATAGACATTATATAGTTGAGATTCCATATGCAAGATAGCAAAGGATTCTTATGCTCCTGGGCATGATCCCTGGTATTACCTCTCTTCTCTGTCAAAAACTTATTATCTGTATTGCTCAGCACCGGAGATCTTTTGAGAAAGCTAGGCTGAAGATAGAAAATGGTATAAGTTAGAGCGTGCTCAGAGGAGGTTGCTTCTCTCTTGCCTTGCTATGACCTGACTCGTCTGCATTACAGTCAGCAATAAACTTCACGTCTGTGACTTGCAAGCAGGACACGAGCGGCCGCTAGAAATGGCCATTGTCTTCTGTTCCTTCCTAGCCCAGTTTCTGTTAAGCAAAGCACAGTGTTTCTAATGGCTCCAGTCCGTGGTCTACAAACATGAAATGCCAGGAAAAAAGCAGCTTTGTGGCTGCTTTTTGCCTGGTGCTGTGAACAAAGTGATGGGGTATCATCTTCACATGCCTGCCTCTCTGAATCATATAGAGTCCAAACAGCAAAGCTATCTAAGGAGAAATCTGATAAAAATGCTGCTCCTGCCCCTCTCTATAAGGGTTAGATGTGGGGTTGCTGACTCCCCCCCCCCAGAAGACTTGGCACAGAGAAGGCAGTAGCTTGCAGCCTACCTTTGGCCTGGGCACATTTAAGAACCTGGGAGAGCTTTGCCCATTGCCCTCTCCTCCCCCTGCACTTTGGCAGCAGCATGGACATCTTCCTGGCATTTCAAGAAGGATTGTGGGAATGCCAGGAATCAGTGTACATGTTTAAGAACATGTTTAAGAAGTGTATGGGGTACTATTAGATGAGAGAGTTCCAGGTGCTGCTGTGCAGGCCATCATGTGTATTTGTATTCTGGGTTTGCAAGTACATAATGAAATGAATCAATAGTTCACTGACTCATGCTTGCCCCTCATGTTTAATCAGTGGTTTGGAGATCTTCCAGGTGGAAAGATGGGGCATTTCAGTGTATATATTAGTTAAAATTAAAATCTGTTTCCAACTGTACAAAATCCAACAAATGCTGGACCTGCAAATATTTGTTTGAAAGACTTTACAGACACTCAGTGTCTAAACACCACTTTCACAGTGGCTATACAATGTACCCAATTGGTATATGAGATGCACAGGCATCTTTTGGATGGGATTTGGATGTAGCAAGTCAGGCATTCCAAAAACTGTTATGCCGCCATTTGATGAAAGGAGAACACTATGAGAATATAAATGTTTCTAAGAGGATCCTGTAAAGCAACCAGTCCTTTGCAGAACTTCCCATGGATAGTGAAAATTACAAGCTGGCAATGAATCAAGCACAGACTGAACTGTGACCAACTGTCCACATATTGATCATCAGGTTACAACCACTTTGTTTCTCTCAGACTCTACTGTGTCTTTCTCATGGAGAACAAAATCCTGAAGATAAAAAATTGAATGGAATTTAGTTGTGTGAAAGGTGACATTTGGGTGCCTCTTGCTAATGGAAGTAGCTCTGTTCCATTCCCCCATTTATTTTACATTTTGGGGATTTATGGATGAGGATGTTTGGAAGAAAAGATGGGGGCTGGCGAACACTCCTGGAATTGTGCTTATAAACAAATCCATCTCACTCCTTCATCCATCTAGAGGGTTGACAATTTATAGGCACTGGCGTACTTCTATTTTACAGTTACATGTAAAATAATGGTTTCCCATCCATAACAACCATTGCTACTCAGCAGTAACAGTGGGCCACTGGAATTTCTCCCAAGGACCAGGAAGAACCAAGGATCCATGAAAATGGGTTACCACCTCCAAAGGTACAGGAAGGATTGCAGCTGGAATTGTTGTCTGTCAGGAAGTCTTTTGTAAAATTCAACACCTGGGAAATATAGAGATCACAACAGGATCCCAACGTGCCAGTTATGGAGCTTTCAAAATTTGCCTTATCACACCAATCGTATAACTCTTCTCTGTTTTTAATGAAGAACTTTAAAAACCGATCATTCAAAAATAGAGAGAAGGTGCAGGCAAGCCCTTGAAAGGAGCCATCATCTGGTATGGCTTTTCTTGACAGAAACTGAGCATGTCAGGAACTCTTACCTGTATCTCTCCAGTTCCCCCCCCTTCATGTCAATAACATGTAGATGAGTAATAACATGACACAGACAGGACTGTCGGAAGAGTCTGTCTTTTCAGACATGGGATTAGAGGTTATCTTGGCCATAAGGCCACTGCAGTGTATGGCACTGATGCCACCCCAGTCCATATGGATTATCTATGCACAGTGTCTGATCAAACAGTCACCTCTGTCTTGCTACCTGTGCGGTAATGGTGGTGTCCTGGGATATAGTGTAGCTGCTCCACTGTGTTGTGCCTCCTGGAGGCGAATGCCTGGCGCTTGGCAGAGGTTTGGTTCATACTCAAGGTGTTGTATAAGTTATTTGAGGCACTGGGATGGGAGTGCATTTTAGTCATCCGGTAACGATCCAAGACAGGTGTAGAAACAAAGACGTCTGAGTGTGACAAAGCCCGTGACATAGACTGCTCTCCAAAACCTGAGTGCTCTGGAGACAGCAGTGGGTCTTGGGAATGTAGGCGTTCAGTGGACAATAACCGTTCATCAGAGAGGATCCGCTCATAAGACATGCTGAATTCTTCAGGCATAACCCTTTCTGGGGACAGCACTCGGTCCTGGGACATGGCCCGCATCACACGGCATGGCCGCTCCCTTTGGTTGGTCTGTTTCTGGGTTAGCTGGATGACATTGAGAGGGAGAGTCCCTCTTGCTGCTAAGTCAGGAAGGTGCCTCTTTCTTGAGTAGTATTCTTCAGCATCCTTGTCAGCTGTGAGCAGAAAGGAAATACCAAAATCATACTAAGGTTTGAAACATCACAGGGAAGGAGGAAAGCAGAGAATGTATGCTTCCTGCCATTTTGGGAAAGTATAGTCTGGACAGTAGCATCTTCAGGAGCAGCAAACTAGAAGGCTGCCAACACTGGCAACATTAAAGCTTCATTACATCACCTATCAAATACCCCTCTCTGTATCAAAGGATGTGCAATATACATGAATCCAGTGGCATCTTACAACACTAACAACGTTAATTCAAACAGAAACTTTCATATGTCACAGCTCACTTCATCAGATGCGTGGAGAGTTTTTTTTACACACAGTACACTGGGGAAAAGTAAACATACAAAGAAGCTTCCTACCAAGATTTTAATTTTATAATCAATTATTGCAAACCAATTTAAATAATAAATTAATTTCATTAAAAACTGAAGAAGAACATGTTCTTCTTTTGGAATGCTCCATGTGCTTGGGATACATCAAAATGCTGGGTTATTTTACAGTATCACAGAAGATACTAATTGAACCTGGAAAAGGATGTAACTGAAGGTGAAGAGCACTTGGCTATGTATAAAGTGCTGCTTTTTTCATAATTGGTACTCTCTTGTTGGAGACTCCAAAGTCTAGACATCAGAGTCTAGACATCAGAGATTCTTTGGACTGAACTTAATTTCTGTGTGAAAAGTAAGTCATGATCCCTTCAACCATATCTATGCAAGGACACTGATCCTCAAACTTTCTCAAGCATGCCACAGGATCAGGGCTGTTGCAGTGTTATGCAATGACTGGAACAGGGGCTTAGTTGTCCTATGGAAGATTTTGGTCCATTTATGGTAAATAATATGGCAAAATGCCTATTTGCTGAGTATATAGAATCTGGAAAACAAAGCAAATTATGTTATAAATTCAGGTTTGCAGCCAAGAAAGGATACTGTATCATGGGCTACTCTACACAAAGATGGTTCTATGTAACTCTTGTCGCTGCTAGTAATGCAAAGGCAGCAGGGTATCCACATGTTTTCCTTGCCTCAGCCCTCCATGGCTTCCATTTCCTTCCTGCCACTGGTGGGCTTTTCCAGGCTTAAAAAAAAATGGGTAATACCTATAGCACTATAAATGTTATAACATTATGACAATTTATTTCAATAATCTAGTTCCCAGCATTCATTTTTTTTAAAGTAAGTCTCTAGCCCCTTTGGTTGCACAGTTATAAGGGGGAGGTTGCCATCAAGTCACAGCTGATATGGCAAGCTCCATGGGTTTTTTTAGGCAAGATACGTTCAGTTGCCTAACAAAAGGAAAGCTGGGAACTGGTATATTGTTGCATTTAATCATCCCAACATTATAGCGATATAGATATTACTTATTTTTTAAAAAGACCAACCCCCCCCACCCTGGAAATGGGAAACGGCCACTGTAGGGACCAAGGTAAGGAAAATGGTGCTGATGTGCACAGGAACCCCCCAAAATATGAACCTTTCTATCCATGACATATCCAAAGCGGAGTCTTTTCCATAAAGATCATATCAGGTATGTGAAAGTTTGCAGCAAACCAGGGGAATACATTAAGGCAGAACAAGCAGAGGGATGACATGTGGATGCTTCCAAAAACAGAGCTGCTGAAAGGAAGCCACGGCTGAGCAAAAAAAACCTTGTGAAAACAGCTACGGTTACACCACATGCAGCAAAATGAATTTGATAACATGTAAAATAACCAAACTGCATTTTTACTATTCTTGAATTAAAAACAAATGAAAGTCAGGTGGCTTTGGCAAAAGAAAAAGAAAAAAGAAACAAGATTCCAAAGAAACCTAGAAAGGCCCTTTGCATGCTATTGTTGATCCAAGTATCTCCACCTGCAGGCTGTCTACCATGGAAAGTCACAATGAATAAGAGCCACTCAGCAAAGGTGGCAGACAGCCAGAGAGAAGTAGTTTTGACTTTGCGCCCTAACCATGCATATTGAGCATCAAGGTAATGAAATGAGCAGACACCTACTTAATCTCTTCAGGGAAGAATATTTACTTGGGTTAGTCTTGATTGCAGATTCATAGGACGGTGGGAGGTGAGAGAGGTTCTGGAAGGACCTAGAAAAGGAGAGATCGTAGGGCTCAGTTGCAGAGGTAAGAATACTGTTCATCCGTGGCTTTTCTAAGAGAGAGAGAGAGAAAGAGAGAGAGAGAGAGAGAGATTACCATTGGAACCAAGGCACAAGAACAATGCAGGAACAGTTGATGTGTAATGCTTTAGCTATAGCCATCAGATCACCCTATCTTCAATTGCAATGTAATTCAAAATAACATTGCCCAAGCTACAATCAAGGAACTCAGAGCACTTTCCACTGCAATAATTAATGGATCCCAAGTGTACTGATTTGTACCTCAAGAGTTGTGGCTCCTTCATAAAGGTAGATTTGGCAAACAAACCGCTGGTAGCTCATTTCTATATGCATTGTGAAATGAATATGAAGGAACCCATCTCTTAATTGAGTCCAACATGTGGAGCAGATGCTTTTTTGCACTGTTTCTATATAATGTACTATTGCAATATCTGTGAAGGTCACTCTTTCTTTCACTGTATGATTAAAACAGAGGAAAATAAATCTTACCTTCACCCACAGACTACAGAAATTCTCAAGAAATTCTACCGAATTTCTCAGAAATCCTACAGAAATATTGTATAATTCAACTTTTGACACCAAAATAAAGTACTTTTCTTTTACAAATTAATGGTCCAGCTTGCTATTTTTCTGACTAGTGAGAAGGCCCCAGGGAGGTTCTTCTTCCAAATGTCACCCACCCCAGTGGATCAGATAGTGGAGTGTTCTAATCCTTTATCAGTCCCAGAAAAAGACTGGGTAGTGAAATACCTGGAGTTTAGGAGGGGAGGGGCCTCAGCTGGGTACAATGCCATAGAGCCCACCCTCCAAAGCAGTCATTTTCTCCAGGTGAACTGATCTTGGTCATCTGGAGATCAATTGTTATAGCAGGAGATCTCAAGGTGCCACCTGGAGATTGGCAATCTTAGTCCCAGAAGAAGCTCACTGCCTCTCCCCCTGTCATTTCTTCTCATGTTGTTTTATTCCCAGTTCTAAGAACTAGGGCCCCTGCCACACGGCAGGGGATAAGTTGCTCAAAGCGCGGCTTTTATAAGCCACGCCCAAGTTGAGACGCCGCGGCGGGATCCCACGATCCCCTGGGCCGCGGCACCTTTTCTCCCCGGCACGATCAGATGCCAGGGAGAAAACACAGTTCAGACGGGGAGCCTGCCGAACTTCGCATGTCGGAGCATGCACAGTTCAGCTAGGAGCCGGGGATGAGCTGGCGCAAAGACGTGCCGGCGAGCCAACGGCCTGGCTTGCGGCGCTTCAATCAGAAGAACCACCCAGGTAGGTGGTTCTTTTTGGTGCGGGTTTTCTGCCAGGAGGGACGGATCGGGGACGGGCAGGCAACGATTTCCAGATGTTGCCGTGGGATCGTGCCCGTTTGATCCGCCCTCGTTCTGTCTCGCTCCCGGACCAAAACCCCTCGTATGAACGGGGCCTAGGAACAGTTTTATTTAAATGCTTAGTTGCTAATTATTCATTCCTGAGGATTATCAAAATATTATTGCTCTCATTGTAACAATGGCAATGATTATACCTAAAAGGAGTCTGTAAATGCTTTCAGTATAAACTTGCCGTAATTTTCTATCAACTTGTACAATGATCTATCATCTTACCATTTTTTTTACCATGAATATTTCTGAATCAGTAGAATTACATCTTTGCTTACTGTAGAGAAGCTTTGGGAAGAATGTAGTGTAGAATTCAGTGACTCCAGCAGGCATAACACTGTAAGATTACAGGTTGTAGCTAGAGGGTATAGGTTTGGAAGAGTGGCTCTGATCAGTAGTGGAAGTTGCCACACTGTCTTTACACCTCTTCTGGATCAAGAACTAACACAGAAATGATGCAAAGGGTCTCAATTTTACCCCAGCAGGTCCTTCTGACTCTGACCACAGAAACCGCTTGTCAAGCTTCTACTACAAGAAACAAACCCCTGCACCAAGAAGACAGCTTGGTCCAAGTAACCTTTCAAGTGTATATGGTCACACAGAAGGACCCAAGTTGAATCCCTATAGCTCCAATTAAAAACGATCTCTGCCCAAGACACCAGAGAGGTGCTTCCAGTCAAAATAGACTATACTGGGCTGGATAGATCAATGGTCTGACTCATTATAAGCCAGGTTCACACATTTAAAGGACAGTCAACAA